ACTTTAATGTAAAAGTATCATGTTTACTTTGCGGTACTGACCGAAAGTTTAAATAATACTTCGATGAGATTTCGCTGCAAAGGGTTAACTGAATTGCCAGTTGCGTTCATGCCTCACATTTAGCAAAACTTGCTCGAATTTTTGTACCCATCCATAACAAATTTAAAGAAGTCCTTTTTGAAATCAGCCAGATGTTATCTTATTATGAGAATTACTTTTGTATACCAGTTTCATCAAATGCTGGATGCAAGAGACTTCTTTGCTTCACTCTAATATTTCTAGTGGATTCAGCGTTCGTCAATAATGAGGGGCTTTGTAATTCGCAGGTCTGCTATTCACAGAATACAATTAGGGCAATCAAATCGGGGAGGAAGAAATGGGCAGGAGAAAGATAATAAATAATTTATTACGTCATTTCCGTAGTCGGGAACTTGGAAAGGTTAGAAATCGCTTTGGAGATCTGGGCCTAGATAGAAGGAAAATATTAAAATGGATCTTAAAGAAATAGGATATGGGTGTGCAAACTGGATTATTCGGATTCAGGAAAGGGTTTTTGTGAACAAGGTCATGAACCTTCGGCCTACATATGAGACGGCTAATTTGTTGAGTAGATGATAGTTTTTTTCCTCCAAATTAATATCAATTTAGTAAAACTATTTACTTCATTTCTAGGTGCGTTTTAAAGCCTATGGAGTGTCTCTTAAATCTCTCCGTCTGTTCGTATGTCTGTCACTACGTATGAACAACGCCAGAACGAATAAACCGATTTTGATTACATTTTATGTTTCAAAATTTCACGACCAAATTTTGCCATTTTAATTCAGATCGGACTATTTTAACGACTAAAGAACCGTCTTAAATTAATTCCATGGAGCACAATCAATGCAGAAGAAATTGTGATCACTCAGACAGTCAAGACATTGCTTTTGTGCAACCCGTGTCCACACGAGTCAGCCGAAACCCTGTGTTGCATTTCGAGACTTACAGGGTTATACGACGAGGAATTGTTAGCCCCCGCTCAGCCCCTCAAGTCAAAGGATCACCTCTTGTCGGCTGTCTGCGACTGCTTAATCGACGTGCTCACAGCTACCCTTAACATATGGAGTTCTCACTCTTCACACTCAACCTGGGGACGCGTCATACTGTAACAAGTGATTCACTTAACATAAATTTAAAACATTTTTGATTCCATGCAAATTTAACGAAATACAATGGAACATAATTTATTTCCGCTAAATAAATCGAAGCCTGTTATCTGTGTTTATTATGTGAACGAATATTTATGACTGTGCGTTGTGGTTTCTATATTGATAATAGGCTTGTAATAATAGATTTGCATTTATAATAGGTTTAGGCATCGAGTATACAAACACAAATGAGAGGCATATATCACAATAAACGCATTTTCAAAATTCAAGCAGTCAAATGTGGAGAGCAGTGCAATTTTCCAGTCTTGTTTTTGTTTGGTGATTCTTCAGCTGTTACGGATTAGGCTTTCTGGTCTGTTTAATTTCTGACTGAATTGTTAGTTTCATGATAACAATAGTTTCGTGACAAGGGTTTCACGTTTCTGAAGCAAGTAAAACAATGAAACTTTCTTCCAACATTTAAACTAAAGCTGCCAGACAGTTTATTCGTCTTGAATCTAAAGTTCTTTTGGTGTTTATAACGAAAAATCTAGTATTAAACACCGTTATAAAATAATAAAGTAGTGATGTCCATATCTAAAACTCTTTCCTGTATTATTGTAATGCAATCCTTGAGAGAAACAACGAAAACTTACAAAGTAATGAAGATTATTGTCCTTAGAAATGCCGCAATTTAATGTCCTTACCGGCCTCAACATTTCTGTTCCAGTGTGCGTTTTCTTTATACCTATTGTTCAGAAGGCTTGTAAGTTCATGATATGTTCTATCACTCGCCTCAGTAAAAATTTAGGCTGGGCCTATTTATTTAGTGATTACACAATTATTTAAAAATAATGACAATTTATCTTTTATTAATTCATGTATTTATTTGTTATAATTACAAAAATTTACTTCCGTTATTTATGATCAGATAAAAGGCCATATTATTTATCACTATTCTAACGTCGCTTTGGGAAGAATTAATTTTTAACCCTCATCAAATTTTTTCCATCCCTGCAGCAGAGGGTGGGATCAAACGTTCAGGAATAACTTTATGTAGACTTTATTGGTTTAATTTAATGTTTTTTTCAATATTACAGACCACTGCCAAAGAGTAAATAAAACAAATGGAATTCCGTAATTTCCCGTGTATTTTATAATGACAATGGAGCAGAGTTTCTGGGATTTCTTATATTCTCCCCTGCTTTTAATCGTTCAACCCTTCCTCAGTACTCATCTATCACCGCCCCACGAATTGTGCGATGGCCCTAACCAAGCAGTACATTATCACACCCTCGGTTTTATGTTAGGGGCTTCGGGTTTGATCCGGCCCCTGGCTGTCTCAGAGTAAAGAATGTTTAATTTGAGAACACGAGACTAAACGCAGCTTCACGTTGGTGCCGCTACCGCGGATTTATTCATCTTCAACTACGAAGCTCCTGGCTAAAATCGTGGATAGATTACCGTGAGACATTGTAAGTGACGGTATCACAACTCGAAAGACAAAGATCGAAATTTTGTTCTTTGTTAAGTTGTTTCAAAATTGGAAGTAAAATATAAAGAATCAAAATGTATGCTACGATCTTCTGAGAGGCAAAATATGCCGGAAGCCCTTAGGCCTACTGGTGTATATGAATGATTTCATTCAACCGTAAATCAACATAACTGGAGGGATCATAACTTCTTTTAGTTCACAAAGATTCAAATCTCCTTGTAGCAGAAAACAATTACATTTTTCCTCTCCGTTAATTCTCTACCCAAAGAGATGCTCGCAGTTTGGAAAAGCCCTGTGTTTGTTTTAATTTAAAACAGCAATTTTCTGCTCTGTTAGTTCAGTATTATCACAATGATTATGTGGCCAGTGGGATTTAGCTATCGTATTACTATATAGCCCCTTGCGTTTTCTCTCGTGGAATGAAATATAATCCATAACAACGAATCAAAACTGGTGAAAAAATCGGAACTTGTTTCTGAACTTTTTGTTAACTTTAACAGCCTTGAGATTTGAACTTTCACCAATAAACAAGAGAGTACTCTCGAAGCCGAAATACGTGCACGCTCTATTTCATTTGTACCGTCCGTATAATATTCTAGTTATTTTCCAGGAAAAGGTGGTTTGTGGAACAACCGAGTATTCACATGTCAGACCTATGGTTCAGCATCGCTAATTTACAAAGCCCACCATTGGACACGATCCTATATAAGTTCCATTTACCTAAGATCCTATATTCCTAATGTTATCCTCAATCTCTTTGCCGGCCTTTAGGCCGCTGCCTTCCAAGAGGTCTGTACGAACACTGTATATGCTATAGGATTTGAGACTTTAAGGCGAGTACAATCAATAAAATCTTTTCGGGCAATCAGCCGCGTTAACTGGTTACCGTAGTAAACCGACGTTTCTGGAACGAGCTCTGTCCCCATCATAAGGGTTCTGATGTACACAGGCGACTTCCGAGCTATCCAGTCGCATCAGAACCCTGCCGATGGGGACAGAGTTGGTTCCCGAAACGTCGGTTTACTACAGTAACCAGTTAACGCGGCTGATTTCCCGAGAAGATTTTATTGACTGTATATGAATTTCTCATCTTCCCATACGAAGATGACTTGCATACGAGTGAGTGGCTGTAGGCCTATTATCCTAAATTGTCGGCACATACGCACTTCTTAAATTTTGGTTATATTTTCCAAAGCACTTTGTTTGCACACAGATGTAGTTTATGTTCTTGTCTCAACGTAACGGATGAAGTTTCACAATCTTACAAAATATGTGCGAATTCAACGTTAAATATCGTTTGCCGGAAAGCATGTAGGATGGTAACGACTTTTGAACCCAATAACCTTTAAAAAATTATTCGCTGCTTAATCACCAACCTCTGCGAGGAACTCCCAGAACTCAGTACGTTCTATGCACAGAGTGATTCAAAAGTCCCTGAGCGCAAACACAAACCCTAGACGGCGCAAGTACGTAATTTGTATATCAGGGGCCTTTGGACCTTGACTACAGCCATCTGTCAACCATTTAAGCTGCGTTGTAAAAATAAGTTTACCATGAGAAATAATGTTTTTGTACGTGCACAGGGATTTTTGAAGTACTCTGTACACTGCAAAACCTCATATTTTGTAGTTTAACGTAACAATGAAACGCATTTATACGGACTACCATATATTATTGCGATGGAGAAAAACAGTTCTACGAATTTCAATTGTACAACTTCGTGATTACTTCATCCTGCCTCCCAGTTGAGTAATCCCTTTGTCTGCTCCGTTAAAAATTGTTAGAAGCTGCGATTTCACTTGCAGTTTAGAAGAAAGACGTGTATTATACACGTGTAGCAGAACTTTTGTGTTTAACACGAAGCGACGATAATGAGATTGAACACAGTGTTAATGTTATTTGTATATTAGAAGTCTAAAAAATTGTCGTCATTTCCCTTTTTCGTCAAAGAGACCGTTTTAAACTGTAGCAACTGAACCTTACAGGCATCACATTATTTCCTACATTATGAATCTTTTGTGTAAATAGGAGCAGAAGTGTTTTTCAAACACTAAGACAGAGTATCTGATGACATCCTAACCATCTAACGATGGGGGCTCATTTCAGAAAGCAGACGATTGTGTGCTGCTGGGTCTGAGGATAACAGATTATGAATAGGCTTTATTTTTTACACACACACCGACAAATAAAAACTAAGAAAAGGGGTTGTGATGAGAACCATGGGGGTGCTGCTTACTGAAAGGGGAGGGTGAATGAAAATGCTTGTGAAAACGTCTGAGGTTCCATCACAGGAACGCATGCGCGATGTCAATACATTTTTTTTATGCTGAACAATCTGAAGTGTTGATAGAATTGCGCTAGGGTCCGTGGCAAGGAAGAGAGTCAGAGTGAGTGAGTGAGTGAGTGAGTTGGTGGGTGACGGCTGCTTCTGTTTAGTCGATGCTGGATCTCACTGTTCGGCAGAGGGAGGGTTCAAGCAGCGCGCGAGGATACTCCGTCGACCGACGTTGTTATGTGATCCTTAATCAGAATGTGGACAAGCTTCTTCGTGAAACGTGCCAATTATGGCGGAAACAAATGTCATTTTGTGTGTGAATTAGGATTCTTATAAATCTTTAGTGGACATGGGTATCTTTCAGAAGAAACGCCGAGCGCTCAGCGAGACTCCTGACACCCTGTCAACGCAGCCACAGGTGTCTCAGATAACGGGCGAGCAGAAGCAAGGTAAGTCACCGACAACAATGCAACTGTTATCCAACTTTGTCGTAGCCAAAATGATGATTTCTATTGCTTAATAGTCAATACTGCACAACAATTATTTTTCTACAAACACCGAACGGGCGTAGAGAAAAATATCCACCCCCGATATTTATTAGTCCAGAGATTTTACGAAGGCCTGTTATTAAACTGGTGCATATTTTTGGGGATTTTCTTTCTTTTACGTTTTAAAACCACTCAAAATTTCGGAAGCCGATTCTGTTTTCTTTATCAGGCGAGTAACCTTATCAATTGTGTTCACTGAAATTAGGCATTTTCAATGGGCATTACCTTCATTGGCCATCTTCCTCCAAAGCCTAACTCTTATCATTAAATGATGTTTCATATTGTCATAGCTCTGAAATAGAAGCAAATAATATTTCTTTTCTAATTTAAAGTTGAACTTTCAACTACAGACTTTTGGCGGAAACCTACGTGGCATAAAATAGTATAGAATGCGTGAATTGGAAAGGATGTGGCCACAAGAAGTCGTGACCTATTAATAATATGGAGAGGCTGAGTAAATCCACGATCAGTCAGTATAATCTGTATCCTAAGCGAGATTCAAATCCGGGACATCCCGAAATTAAGAAGTGAACGATAAGTGTCTGACCACGATAATCTGTGGAGGCTTATAGTCAACCTTTGTGGGAACCAGAGAACTCCCCAAGTGCTAATAGTGCAGAATATATACATAACAGAGTGCAATACGATTGTGTGAGATTATTCTTTTCAAATCATCGGTATGATGCTGATGTTATGCCACGAAAGTGTTGGGTCTAGTGCGTAATAAAACTAACTGCTCGATTTGCATGTTACAGCAGCATGAGTTGTGTAGAGCTGGATCAATAAATATTACAGATATGAATTGTACTGTGGAAGAGAAAGTACTGGTGTCACGACGTTACAAAATATAGTGATAGAAATTATTACTAACCTCATCTTGTAGAATTTACGTACGGGTGCATATTTAAGACTGAAATGTTTTTCGTGAAACATCTGTTATTTCAAAGTTACATAACATAATTAATTTACTGTTTTATTATGTTTTTAATTTTTATAATATATAGAAGACTTTTCAGGAAAACAATTCACAAAATTCTCCTCCTTTTATGGAACTGGAAAATTTAATTACCGTGTTTACAACATTCTTCCACCAGTTCGTAGAATAATCCAGTCTGCGGCCTCCATTTTAATATTATCCTCTTACCCACACCTAGGCATCCCGAATGGTGTCCCCCCCCCTGGTTTTTTGACTAAACTGATGAGTGCCCTTCTCGCCTCATTCATGCGTGCTACATGTCCCTCACATCTCAAATGATTTTTTTCTCCAACCTCCTGTCACTTCTCTCTTAGGTTCAAATACTTTGATCCCCTTTCGGTAAACATTAATGCGTACAAGTTATGGTGTTAACAAGAAAATTAATTTTTGTAACGCGTAGATTCTAAGTGTTTCAGTTTAATAATGGAGATTATATCCTAATTATTGTGGAGTTTGTTTAGTGTTAATCCTAAAGAATTCAATAAAATAACGGAGCGGTATAAAACATCTTCGTCTTTTAAATAAGGATGGAAACAGGGAGGAGAATTTAAAAGAATGTAATTGCACAATTTCATTATCTTCACGAAATGACGAACATTGTGTCTGGAGGAAAGTCTGTGTGTTGTTTTCATACACATTTACTAACAGAAATAAAAATTGGTTTAAATTTTGTAAAACTAAATATTTCGTGCACAGCACTTCTGAAGGAGAAGTTATTACATTGTATAAATGAAAGTATAGATATCAGCTTTACTGATTTTATAGGCGTGTGCAACTTAGAAAGTCTGCTTCACTATTTAACATTCTCGTGATTTTCGTAGCTAGAGTCGCTTCAATAATAATTTATTCATGCTACTGATCCAGCCAGTTGTTGTTGTGGAAGTAATTTGTCACGGGAACATTTTCCTCGGTCCATTTGGTTCATCATTAAGCGTATCAATCAATCATTGTTACCAACATTATTTACACTGGTTAACTTTCGTACTTTGCACAAGATCGCTAGCCAACAAGACTGAGATAAAATGAAGATACAACGAGGCAAAGTAAAATTAATAAGTTCACTTATTGTTTAACCACCACCATTGTGATTGGTAACCTGGGTTGTGGAACTTTGTGGATTTTTAGGTAGATAACCTGAAGTGTGTTCCTCCGAAACGTCGGTACTCACCTAAAATTCTTCGTGGCGCCATAACGCTGAATACCACCACCCGACATCATCACAGTCTGGAGAACTAGACGTCTCAAATATTGTAATCGCATCCAAAAGCCTTGCAACAAAATGTATTAAGAAGAGAGTAACTTACTCACCGCCTTGACGATGGAGGCAGCAAGAACCTCTTAAACGTCAGTAAAACGTCTACCAGACTACACTGCGCAACATCCCAGAAGACAACCATCTTCGTACTTACGGCCATGAGAAACTGAAATCATTTAAAATGCGGTCATTAAGTTTCCGTACTTCATCTTACCTCAATTTCAACTGAAACAAATCATCAAACGCTACTGAATATTTTCTCGTTATTTTACGCATTTATTCCACATGTATAGCTTCGTCTTTAATGAAATATTGATTCATAAATGAAGATTTTTTCTTGTTATCGATGACAGCGCCAGTAACGTTACATTTCAATCCGTATTTTCTTTCTGATTATTAATAGACTTTGTATTCTGCATGCCTTCTGGGGCATTCCATCCCAGGCAAAAACATCGGCGTCAGTGTAGGTCTATCATCGTTGTTCAATATGATATTATTTTGTAACAGCAAAACGTAGTCCGAACACCAAATATGGTCTACAAAAGATAAATAATAAAGCACTCATTACTGGAGTGGTCAACTTCGGAATTCAGAGCACTAACTCTTTAGGATTTAATAGCAATAATAGTTACCAGGCCTATTATTGTAATAGTCTACAATACGTCAGCATTCAAGTCAGAATATATTATATTATATTATTTTGATAACTGTCTTGGGAAGGGCAATACAGAAATCCTAATTAAACTAACTTCATGGAGCAGAGTCCTTCATGACAAATTAGTAATCGCTTAGCTACTCAAACTCCCGGACTTTTGTGAAATTCGCAGTTTCATTACCGTGTTCACAGTAGCTTCTGGATAAATGCAGCAAGTCTCTTTGTGACTAATTCTAGTATTCGTACTTTGTCTAAAGCCATTACGAATTTTCTGTGAAGAGTGAAGACAGAGGCAATTTAGTTCGTCTAGCAACCGCTGTTCCTCTGATCACGATTTCCCAAAAGGTCCCAGCGCCGCAAACCCCGGTTTCGCCAATCCGGCTTTTCCGGGAATGTAACTCCACGGTTGGTGAGGGACTGTTACACAGAAAAGGAAATATACTTCGGTCCTAATACAGTAGTTAATATTTATTTATAGTTTATTTAAGGGCGCTCTATCACGAACTGGGATATATGGCGTCGAATGAGAGTATGTTAGTGAATAATGAATTTGAAGGGATGTGGCAGGAAGCTGTCGTAGCCTAATTTAAGGAATTCCCCGGCAGTTGCCTGGGGTACTGAGTAAAACCACAGAAAACCTAGTCAGAATAGCCGATCTCCAAGCTGGAGTTTGAACCCGGGGCCTCCCAAATACGATACAGTTGTTAAGTACAGAAAAATGTTCACAACAGGTTTCACCTTATGAAATTTCTTCACATTTCACGGAACTGTTAAGGAATGTAAGATGGAGGCAAATACGGAATATCAATAAACCTTTGAACTCAGATATGGATAACATTGAAAGTTTTAAGCACGTATAGATTTAGGGTGTTGATAATTCAAAAATGATTTAGTGCGAGTTATGTGGAGACCAGTAGCAGAATGACAAATGTGAGCTGGTAAAGAATGAGATAAAAGCATTCACTACAAGTTTTATTAAAACGTTTCAGATAGGGAAACGGAGAAAATTAAAACAATTCAACTGAAGCGGCTCAAACTGCACGCATTCTGCGAGCAGAAGGTACTCGTTCAACACTTTACGAAAGGCCGGCATGTTGATCTTATAAATATGTGCTGGAAATTCTATTCAGGTGCATACTGTAAAAATAAAATAATTACAAAAATATGGCTGTCTTGTGGGTTGTTGCGCAGTGTAATTTGGTAGAAGTTTACCAACGTTTCAGAGGTCCTTGCAGCCTCCATCATCAGGGTTGATATTTATTGTTGGTTTAAATGTTTGGCATGACTGTTGACCAAACAATTCGACAAAACTTAACATTAAATAAATGTATTTGTAGCTTAGATGCGTCATGTTTGTGTTGAACTAAGTATGTATTTATTATTCCAGTCTATACACAAACTTAATTTAAAATGTTGTTGTTAAAATTAAATAAATGTTAGATACTTTTGTGCTGCGTAAAACACGCACTATGAAGACACAATTGCAATTTTCCTGCAGCGTCTATGCGCTATTTGCGCAGACTTCATCACATAAGCACATAATCGTTACGTCGCATTTGTCCATATGTCCTCATATTTCATCTGCTAAATAACGGATAGGATTTTGAATCAGTCAAATACACTATTACACGGTATTCAAATCGGCCTTCCTAGGTTTTCTGACAAACGAAACAGAATTATACATACCATAAAATACAAGCATTTGTAATACGCCAGCACATCTGAGATCTAAGTGAAATATTTCTGAGTACGGTGAATTTTTAACAAAACATGAGAAATATAGTTCCGGTCTCTTTGTAGTGTTAATATCTGGAAACAGAACAGTGAATACGGAAGACCATTGAAGAAAAGCTCAGCCTGTTTCACTGAAATGCCCTATAATACATTTATAACAAATATTTAACATTTAATGATATTAAGCAGAGATAAATTTTACATACTTGGGGTGAGTGAAGATGACGATTATGATCATATGGGTTATGACGTAATGTATGCTTGTAGCTATTTACCAATGTTTCACTTCTACCCTGAATACTAAAGTGATACGTTCTTCCGAAACGTTGGTAACCAGCTAAATTACTACACGGCGTTACAAGCAAAACGATCACAGTAAAGTAATTTTAAATGTCCTATGAGTCTGCATCAGCAATAAATTAATATTACGGTTTCTGGAATCTGCAAAATACGCGGTACTCCAATTTGCAGTACAGAATTTTTCACTTTTTTCCGTGTGGTGACAGAGTAATGTATTAATGCCATGAGCTGTTAAACCCGACACGGAATTTGTGACAAGAAACTCAACCATGTATGTAATTCTGACCTTTATTCTACCGAGACTTTGATCTGGGTTCAGGGATCGGTTATATTTAAATAATTTGTTTGTTTAATAACATGCTGTTTGCTGTTCGTCTGTTGTTAAAACCGTTGGTAAGTTGCAGACATGAAACAAAATGAATATCATTTTACCACAGTCGATAACTTCATATTGATTTCAGACGACAAATAAATGTAATTTTTCCCCAAATGGTTAAAAACTAAAATTCAGGTAGTTATTATAAACGACAGTAACAAATCAAAATTACACCAAAGATGAAATTAGAAGCAGCTTACATTCGGGAAAGGCTTGCTACCATGCTGTTCAAAATATTTTGTTTTGTATTTTATTTTGTAGAGCAGGCTGTTTGGAACTAAGGAGGACGACATAATAGGATAATGGTACAAACTGAGTAGTGTGGAGCTTCATAAATCTTATTATTTACAAAATATCATCGCGTTGATCTAATAAAGAAGACGAGATGAGCGTGCCATGTGTTAGAGATCGGGCAGATGAAAATTCGTGCAGAATTTTAGCAAGAAAACCTGAACACTTGGGATAACAAGGCTTAAATGAGAGGACAATATTAAACGGATCATAAAGAATTAGGATATAAGAGAAAGGACTGAATGAATCTATCTCAGGATAGGCGGATTCTTATGTACAATGCAGCAAGCCTTAGGTTTCTTTAAAAGGTGGGGAATTTTATGATTAGCCGAGTTACTGCTATGTTCCCAAAGAAACACTCACTGACGGATAGGTAGTCAGCTGATTAAAATAGGAAATCTAATTACATCACTTTTGTAATTGCTTATATTAAAATCAACGTTAAGTGGCATTTTCAATTGATACGGCGCCATTAAATAATCCTGTAACGCGTAAATCGAAAACAGTGTTAATCTTTATGCCTCTTATCTGAGGCTGTTTCGTATTCCTGTCATTAATGAATGCATCCGTCCTCTTGCGTTTGAACTCAAACGTAATCTAATACTCACGTAACATTCGCTGAAAAACGGCAGTACAATGACAAACAAACTGAATCTACAATTTGTAGCCTATGTATCGCCAATACTCCGGTAACAGTTCGTTTAGCAGAATAAGACAACATCTATAATAATTAATACTTATTCGCTTCGGTCCGTCCGTGTGTCCATATTTTTATCTTTATACACACGAAACAAATGCACTTCGGCGGGACGGATGTTCATAAAATTTAATATTTGCCTGTTTTATTGCTCGGTGTCGAACCCAAACACTGAGCGCACAAAAATGAAATCTCCAGCTGCATGTTGTTTGGACCAAAATGTTTACTGAGCATACGAAGTCTAGCTTATGTGTGGTATGATATACGACTTATGACGGCATCTTTGAGGTAAGAGGAATGAAGTGTTCACCAAAATATCTAGATTTAAGAAGTCTGGAGAAAGTGGCAATGTAGAACACTGCATAGCAAGAAACGTAGTGATTTATAGCAGTACAGGGCGCCCAGTACGGTATGACGTGAAAATGTACGGTAAGTCTGCATTCAGCTGCAAAGGGGGCGAGGACTAATGCATACAGTACAGAATTTTAGAAGTGACACTGTTCAAAAGCGGCCACAAGACCTAAAACGACATGGACAAGAAACACTGAAACTAAGATGGCATCGTATGAAACGTCGGTAAACTTCTACCAGACTACACGGCTCAATAACTTCGTACTAACCTAGGGAAAACCTCAGATCCATTAAAACTGATCTCGTAGAAACTGGTTGTGAGGATGGAAATTTCTGTGTAGGACTATGTCTAATTTTTACGAACAAAGTGTAAATAAGACATAATATTATTTTAAGGAATATAATTCTCCAGGTTTCCTTCTTTTGTTCCAATTTTTTTTTCTATATATTTATCATTATATGTTATAAATTAGATATTTTGTGTCAATTACGTAACTTCTGTGGGCCTACAATACACTGTTAATTATTTAAAATTCAATACCCTCAATAAAGAATATCGGTGTACGTTGTGAATGTTGTCGATCCGCGTATTTCCTGCACACGAAGGTATGTACTATATACTGTATATATGTGTTTAAAATATACAAACATATTTTCCTTGCCCGTCCTCCTTCTTGGTTGCCGTGTGACCGCGCAAGACAAGCTCACCTCGCACGGGACCAGGACATCAGATCATGAAGAAGGTGAGATTCCCGCAAACCCTTGCAGAAGACACTCCCGTTACGTATGGTTTCCTAGGCACAGGATCCGCGAGCAAGACAAATCGTTCTGCACGAAAAACTTCACTTCTGTTTGAAACACACAGTGCTCCATATTCGCGAGCGACAAGTTCCCGACATGATTGCGAACAAAGTATTAAGTCAGCCTATGCCTTTGTGGGCCTGCGTACCCTTTAAAATAAATTACATATCTATATTTTTTCTCTTCACAATTTTTACATTTTCACTTGCATTTCTAACTTAATTCTCTTCCTTTTAGGAGGCATGGACACGCGAAAAATACAAGAAAACATATGCTACGATTTTCGATTGTTGCCGAAACGTCAGCGAGGTGAGGACTGAGGCAGATCTTGACGTAGCGCTCATGGGTTAGACACTAAAACGCTGCGCCCATTTCGTGAAGGTACATCAATAAAAACTTCTTTAAACAATTCGTAATATGTATTGTTGTGAGCCCGAACACAAATAGGAGTGAAGGAGATCACTATGTGATGTCTCATGCCATCGTGCTTTATTTAATGATCGCAGCAGTTGCTATATTAGTAATGTATAAAATGTATTTATAAATTAAATACATTATTTTAGACTGAAATAAATCATATCCAGAAGAATGACTTCAATTTTAGCCCACAAAATACTGGAATACTGGAAGACTTTTAAGAAGATAAATTGACAACTGGAATTGTTAATGATAACGAAACAGACTTCTGGTCCTAACTGAAAAGGTACTGGTTCTATGGACAGAGCATTTACGAAATGCGATCAACAATGACGTTCACGTACGGCAAAATGGTGGACTCCTGTTATGCTTTCGTCCCAATTTTATAATTGCACTTATTCTTCCACTGGAAGTTTTACAAACTATACAGTTGACAAAGCTTCGTTAGACGTGCCTGCTGGGAAATGCAACATCTTGAAAAAAACGCATTCCACATGAATTTCCGTATTTAGCTGTTCGGGCATACATTTTCTTCATCGTGGGCGGTTATAAGCTGTCAACCCACACGGTTTGAGCTCAACAGGCTGTCGGCTCCTCTTTCATCGCAATGCAGTGTCGTGAATTCCAACTGTGTGGAGATACGGACCGAATTCACCAAAGAATTTTACACTTGCATTTGTGGAGCAGAAGGAAACAAGGAAAAGGGACACATAAATAATTAAGTACATGGTAAAAACAAGAGGTAGGCAAGAAAGGGAGCAAGGGGAAGGAAAAAAGAAAGAAAAAAGAAACCTTAGCGGTTTTGCCAATCCATAACCCAGGAAAAGAAAAATTCTAACCGTGAACTTCGAGAAGTGTTCTGTATACAGACCAAGAAGACATGAAAGTGACTCGAAAGATGGTTTACATTTATACACCAACCCTGACGAAGTTTTGTTCTCACTTGAAAAATTAAAAACTTATGTGAACATCAGCAGCTAACTTAAAATATCTGTCTACATACGAAAGTTGAATAAGCACAATTATTGGTTATTTATTTACTTGCCAAACGCGTTTAGGCTTCATGAAGCCATCATCAGTGGCTATACATAACATATTTGGTTCAATACAAGATAAAAGAGTACATAAAATTATAAACACCCTGCGTCCTCGTAAAATTACTAACTCGTACGAACATCAAAACTAAGAAGAGGTGTTTTGGGTTGAAATTCGGACTAGATGTTTGAGTTAAAAAAATCATATATAAATTACTAATTTATGTAATTACATTACAAAGTCGATTACAGTCTTTGATCGTTCAAGCGAATATTTGTTTCTGCTTCTACAATTTAACAAGTTCGCATGTATAGAACTTTCTGCCCAACAAGAAGCAACACGCCGCCGACCTCAGCGAGCGCGCGGCTGTCTTTACCCACGGTTGCGGATTGGAATCCCGCTCGCGGAGTGGAAGAATATCCGCTTTGCTTTGTACTGTGTCGTCCTGTATAAGCAGAGATCTTGCTTTGAGCCGTTTCCTTCACAAACAGACCTACCAAAAGTCTGCAAGATTAAAACAGATTCAGTATTCATTCTGAATCTGAAGGTATAACATGAATGTGTTAACGAAATATTCATTTTGCAGTCTTTACGCTAGGCCAATGTTCTGTAAACTATGAGTCTGGCGATCAGGCTTCTATCCACGGTTTTACCATTTCTCATTCGACGCTACACGATCCCTTCAGTTGATATAGAATCGTAAAATAATCGAAAAGACTAATTAACAGCACTCAACTTTTCCTTTTATTTCCTACTCAAATATACGGCATTGATCGTTCAACCATACAAAACCGAAGTGGTTCAAGAATCAAAGCAGATGCAATGTAATCATCATAGTAGCCCTCCATGTCCAGGCCCAGTGACCTGTTACATTCGCATGCATCTTGAAACATAAAGGACCTAATATTATATATACACTTCAAAATTACTTTGTAGAGATTGTTCTGTCCGTGGGTATTTTAGTTGGAAGCGGTAGTTTTTTTAAGAGACTAAATTTCGAATGCGTTGAGGGGCACTGAAGTTCTTGTCTCGCGTTGTTCTATTCAAGTAATATTCCTTCAGCCATCCTTATGTTCTGATGAGTAAGCCATGTCATTTAGGACTTTCCACAGATTACCAAGCCAACTCTCCAGCGTTGCTCATAAACACATCGATTTACTCCACACGAGAGACGAACTTTTATTGAGCATGAATTTCCAGTGTGTACGGTGCCTTATGAAACAGATGAGTCACAGAAGATGCATCTCACGGACGTCACATTCATAATGACTTTAAATACACCGATATCAAATTCAGTCAGTTTGGTTTTAAATCCTTAATTATATTTATTTTCGGTTAGATAACACTTTTGTTGTTCAAATATTTCTTACAAAGAGCGATACAGTGTCAAACACTGGCAACTCCGAATTTATATTATGCCATGTATGTAATATCTGTGGTTCTTTGTCTTAATGGTCCCTTAATGAGTGCTTTTATTATTCACTGTTACAATAGGATGAAAAGGCTTTTGAATACCAATCCGAGTCATCGAATGACCAAAATACACCACTATATAATCTACGTCGTGTGTTTTCTTTTAATATTGAAAAGTAATTGAAATTTACTTTCCACCGACTAGAACACTTTGATAGAAAAGATTGAGGATTATTTTATACCTTCATTTCTCTCGTATTTAATTCCGTACGTCTGGAGAGATAATCATGACAAATTATAGTAATAAATTATGCATGCGGTATTAGCACTTTTGAAATGTCCTTAGAAATAAGACTTCAATTAAATTCAGCATTACGTGGTACTTGATTATGCACAAGGATGCATACTCTTGATGTGGTGATCAATTAAGCACAGCGACGTATTCACTTACTTATTCATCAAATTTACCTATAAATAGACAGACAGAGAGACAGAAAGACATAAAGTTAAATACTTAAAAAGATACACGAACTTTTCCGTCAGATGTATGTCTTCTGGACTGATCGTCCTGATAATGGAGGCAGCAAGGACCTCTGAAACGTTGGCAAACATCTACCAGACTACATGGTGCAAAAACCCAGAAGACAGCCATCTTTGTACTCACCGCCGTGAGAAATTCAAATCCTACAGACAATATGTAGTACAAGTGGGAAATAACATAAATATGCACGAAATTTTAGTCTGGAAACTTCAAGGAAAAATACCACTTGTGAAACGTAGGTGTACATAGGAGTACAATAATCCTATTAACACCTACCTTTAAAAATTTGGTCGTGAAGGCACGGACTGGATTTAATTTGCTCAGGATAGGAATTAATATCTGGCTACACGACAACACGCCTCTAAACATTCGTATTGAATAAAAGGTGGAGAATTTCCTATCTGAGCGACTACTGGCTTCTCAAGTAAGACTCTATTCTGTATAATTAGTTACACAAGTAGATTATATGTTACTGTATGTGAAAGCTAAGTATAAATTCGAAAAATAAACAATGCCATCATACATGGAGTGTGATGCTTTTAAATTCAATAAAACGTGGCGCGACACACACACATACACACAAACAAATGTGGTCTCTCACTCCCCCCCCTCCAGGAGGCCCAGTGACTTGAAATCAATTGTCATATGACGGATGTACCATATGTTTTTGGTTTAAGGTAAGATGCATGCCTTACGTCGGAACTTGGAACCATTAATATTTATGTCTTATTTAACACTTTTCACCTTTGACATAAGGCTAGTAAGGAATGTTTGGTATTCTGACTAGTAACATGCAAATTCGTTTAGCAAACGTAGTTTGTTTGCGGAACAAATTAGTTAATTTTATTTAGTTTAGTTGGTGTCACAATAACGTCTTGTACGTACAAGATGAGCTTCTCACTGTTAGATATGTAGTTTCTTTGGAACTGGTTTATTGAGTCCTGTTCTTTTTATTTGTAGATATTATGCGCATTAGCTCCTATTCACTTCGTGAGAGAAATGGCGAGTACGCGGCCATACATTTCATTTCGGTAAACAGGGCCGAATATTGTGTCTACACTCTGTTCAACACTGACAGTCGGTTTCTATTCAAAATCATATCTGTTAAGTTTGCATAATTGCAACATAAAGGCAAACGTCATCTTTCTAACTAAACACTGGGTCATTCCGTACTAAATCAAACAAAACTGGATTAAGTTTCAAACACAACATCACCAGTTCTCATGATTTTTATTTTCCATATTTTTAATTTTCTATTGTGACTAAATTCCTAGATATTAATTAATGAAACTAGGAATTTTTAAGTAGTATTTGAGGTTCTCACGGCGGCGAGTATGAAGATAGCTGTCTTCTGGGTTGCAGCGCCTTGTTGTCTTGTAGAAGTTTACATACTTTTCAGAGGTCCTTACTGCCTCCATTACTAAGTTATCACCCTGAGAATGGAGGCAGCAAGTGCCTCTGAAACATTTGTAAACTTCTACAAGACAGCAACAACCCAGAAGACAGAAATCTCCATACTCACCGCTGTGAAAACCTCAAATCTTACATTTAAAATGTTTCCCAGAAGCAGACTATGAAAAATAGGACATAAAAACTTCTTGTAATTTTATTGTTATTGTACAATGGAAAAGTCATGCACTTTACTAGCAAAAGATAGTGTTAGAAATCTCTTTCGTTGTCCGGAGGCATAGCCTTGGCAGGGGATGATACAGCAACTTCATCGCTACGGGCACAGCAGATGGTTTCATGCTTGTCACTCTTGTTATTTTCAAACAATTCAGCAGTAGCCTTTTAGAATTTCTTGTCGCTTTTAAATTTAAGTTAACAATACTGTTCGTGATACTGAAGCTTGTATGATCTTACAAAATATTTTTTTTACGGTTTATCAAAATAAATTATTTATGTTAAGCGGTGAGTAAGTATTTGATTGAAATAATATGTAGTCAATTTGCGGTTAATGACTTTATTTAAAACG